GAGAGAGAGAGAGAGAGAGAGAGAGAGACAGAGAGACAGAGAGACACTCCAGGAAGTCTGAGACCACTGTGGACAGTGAGGGACAGAGCTTCAGGATGTGAGACAACCTGGAGCAGCTTCTTCGACTGCGGTTTGACCAATGTCTGTGTGATTCTAATGAGGCGCTTCAGGCTCCGGGATGTTCAAGATGTCGCTGTGTGTCTCAGCATCACGTTATATATCTGTGACCTAGGTAAGAAAACCCAGCACACCTTTTTATAACCCGCTGTTTGAGTTCGGCAAATGTTTGACTTGTTCAGGACGAGTTCCCTCAGACACGTGAGCCTCCTCACTGTCGTGGAGCGAGTCCTCCCAGGACACGTGAGAGACAGGAGCTGAGGAGTCCGGACTTCTGTAGAACTCTAGATTCTCAAGAATGACCGAGGCTCCGAGGAACGAGAGGAGTTCCTCCACACGTTCTCCTGTCTGAGACTCCTTCAGGAGAAGTTTGTCACACCTCTGTGATCTGCATCCAAGTTTACTCTCCTCAGCTCGTTGGACGAGTTTCATTCAGAGTCAGAGAAGCGAACAGAACAGCACATTTCTGACTGAAGAGGAATTTAGAGCAAACGAGTCACGAACGAGTTTTTACATCCGCACTGAGCTGTTTGAGTGATTGTCACAGCTGCAGTGAGCTTCAGTGTGACAGGAGATAAGATAGAACGAGCTCATGCTGCATCCACGAGTATTTATCTGTTCGCAGTGAATCTGTAAATCTCTTCTCCTTCTTCTTCAAGCCGGAGCCATCTCCATCCAGTCCGCTCAGAGGAGCCTGACCAGGTCGGTGCAGGAGGATGTGTTCTTCTCGCTGGACGTGTCCTGCGTCGGGATCCCCACCATACAATGGAACTTCATGTCAGGGGCGGTGAGCCGCACCATAGGGACATGGCAGCCCGGTGTGTACAGCAACATCACGCTGGATTACAGCAGCCGAGTGCGGCCCTACGACAACGGCTCCATGGGCCTGTCCGACCTGCGGCTGCAGGACGCCGGATACTACGTGGTCACTGTGACAGAAACGGAAGGAAGCAGCAAGGACACCGGGTTTGTCCTGAAGGTGAACGGTGAGTCCCCCCCCCCCCCCCCCCCCC